GTAGCGCAGTAGAATATATACCTAATATTGGATAGTTTCTGCGCTTTATAAATGTACTATTATTATTATTATTATTATTAGTGATATAGATTTACCAAATATATATTTTCAAAAGAGATGGGGAAAACAAAACAACGATTAAGCAGCCTATCAAATTTCAAACCAACTTCGTCTTGAAACCGAAGCCGGGATGACTATGACAAAGCAATACGAAATACCACTGAATTGTGAATCATGCAAACTGTCAAAAGAATACACAAAGTTATCAAATAGGTAGCATGATAGCTTGTCACTGCATATTTGATCCGCAAAAACAAATTAGCAGCAAGATCGGCCCACTGCAGTCCTAATATATATTTGATATGAAGAGAACATATTTGACGTTTTAAGTGAGTGACACTGGCGATTTATGTCAGTTGTTGATGTGGTCATCCTTATACAGTATGTTAGACATGTCAATTTGAGCACCATAGATGTCATCCGACCGGACATTAAGTCCAATATTGGTCAACTGACCAAGAGGAATGTTAAATTGCCACTAGTCGACGAAACGGACGATAATTTGTTTGACTTCTTAAGAGTGTACCTATCGCATCTGGTGCCAAACATAGCCTCTACTGCCATGAACATGCTCAGTGTCACTGGTAACGACTCCCAAAGCCCAAAGAGACGTATGCATCGCCTCAATACGACAGCATTCAGCGTACGGGACTGGTATTTAAACAATTCTTTGTTTTTTCCATCAATAACCTTATCGATGCTCCTCAACGGGTTCATCCTCCTGTTCATCGTTGGTTCAGAAAGACTGGGAAAACAGCATAACATATTTACGTTCAACATGGCGCTTATAGATATGATCACTCCTTTCATCGGGATTTACTTTATCTTCGAACGCTCACCTGTAAGTTAATTTTAATGATATGGAACTTATTTTCACTTTAATAGTTCACTGATTAACGGTCTTATTAATGACATGGAGCTCATGCAACGTAGCGTCAGGTCTCAATTTTCTCCTTGTGGCCGTCTACCGCTTTGTAACCGTTCACGTCTAACCTTTCGGACTTCGGAGTCAGGAATCTCGTGACCACACCTCGATGCATCTTCGCCTGCCAATTGTGGCAGTGTTAATAAGTGGAAGCGGTGTCTGGATATCGGTTTCTGTGGGTGTTGTATTTGCCCTTACCGGAATCTGCTACGCACTTCTGTACCGCGGTGTGACGCGGTCACGATTGGATCGGCGCGGCGTGGAAGCAGACGAGCAGCGGTTGAAAGAGAATCGCCATTTGCTGAGAACTTTTGCCGCCACATACATCACCAACGTCGCAATCTGGTAGGCTAGATTTTCGTTCGGGTTTGAGGATTCTAATTCGGCGTTATACTACACCAGGTTGTTTCCATACGCTGTCAGGTTGAATGCGAATCCAATTATCTTCTAGGTACGATCAAAAGAATTCAAGGAGGAGGTGAAAAGATACAGAAGGCACGTAGTTCCACTTCCTGTCAACGGGATGGTATAGCATATTTACTTTCTCTCCGGGATTAATACTATGATAGGCCTATTCTTCAAGGCAGCAATTGGTATTTCTCTACGTCTTATTCCAGCGAGTGACGATTAAGTCACGCTTTAAAACAACGGATTAACGATATTGAAAGTATATCTATTGGGCATAATTGAGAATATCAAAAGTATCGGGACTCGCAATGTCCATCGAAACTAGTGTTTGAAGTGTGAAAAGTCGATTTACTTGAAGATGTAATTTGATTTCGATTCTGCGATTCTATTGTATAATGATCTAATATGTTTATTTATTAATTCTTCCGCTTCTATCACTGTGAGAAAGATGGTTTTCATGACCATGGCCTTTCTCCATTACCACCTTCACTTCTCTTCAGTTCTTCAGTTCCCCTTCTTCCTATCTCCATAACGTATACTACATGCATGCTTTAACATACCAATGTATTAGGTTCATGGTTACATGCGGAATAACATAAAATTTCATTAAAAAAAAAAAAATGTTATTATTTATTTATCATGTCTAATCCCTTTAAATAATGTCCAAAGGCACTGAATTGTCATTTGCATATTTTCTAGGTTTGAAACTTGTCAGGAAAGTAAATTATATCCCCCCCCCCCCCGTCATATTTACATCAACATATTTTCATTCTCATCATCAACATTGTCATTTGTTCAATTATTTAAATCATCCAACCCGTCCCAGGCTAACAAGCTATCAAGCGAACACCTATTGCGCAGCCCTTCTCATTCTTTTTCAGATTTATTAATGAATAATTATTAATTTTGTGTTATCAGTTACATTTTGTTTAAATGTCAACATTTCTATTATCATTGTTTTATTGTGTATACGTTAAAAATAATGTCATTTGTATATGTTGTATCGTTGAAATGTAAATTGATTTGTATGTTTTGTAGAAGAAAATAAAGTCAATTCAATTCAATTATACACTAAATTGGATTCAAATTCAAAACGCTTTTTTTAATATTTATTTTGGTCGATTGAATTATGTTGGTGGAAGGAAACTCGGCGTGTTTAAAGAATTCATTTTAAATCCTATATTTATTATAGAAAGAAATGAGTAATTTTGTTCATGTTTGCTTTTAGGCGGGTTTGAAGAACGTTATGACAAAAATGAGTGACAAAAGAGAGAAGATGCTGCGATGTGATTGTGTACATCTTGAACTTGTTTAGACAAATAGGGCTTTAATCACTCTCGTGTACCACGGACTGATATAGCTAGTTTGTATGGGGAACTTCCGGAGTTTTGTCTGCAACGGGATTAATTACTCTGACTGATCCGCTTTACCACGATTTTTTGTTAATAAGATGCGCATCATACGCCTACACCTCTATGGAAATAGATAATAAATGTTAGAACTGTCATGTGGTATTACGTGTTTATATGTGACATAGTCTCTTCGATCTTTTCGATAGGATCAATAATAATGCATATTGCACATGCCATGAATATTTAATTGTCATTAACCATGTCATTCATGACATATGAAGCGAACAAAATCCTTACAGAATTAAAGTGAAAAATAATAGATTCTGACGAAATCAATAGGTGCTCTGCTACGCTACGTGGCAGATCTCAAAATTACCCAATGTCGTCATCGATGGTTCCATGTCATAAATGCTTTGTTGTTTAATCTAAACGTGCCCATTGAGTAGCATGCCCAGAATCAGCACTTAATTACCTCTGTGGTTCATTGGATGTCTTGTAAAAAGAACGCAATATGTAATCATATTTCGAAACTTATCAATGTCATCGACTAAAAGGGGTGTCAATCAAAAGACTGATGAAGCCCTCCGCACGATACATCAGCAGAAAAGGCCAATAAGATGAAAGTAAGTTTCATTTGATAGTTTTTTTAATACAGATACGGATACAGACCAACGTTTCAAGCGTTATTTTAAAGCGTTATTACAAAAACATGATATTGTCGTGAACATAGGAAGCAACAGCAGAGAAAAATATCGACACTAACTCCATGATTAGGGATAATTTCTAAATTCTTAGTCGAATCGAAACGAAAGTCGTGCCAATATTCTTCAGGTTTTTCTAAGCTTCATTGCTCGCATCATGATATCTGCTGCATTAAACCAAACGGGCAATGACCCCCTACCCGGCACTCTGACCCAGGGATCGGGATACGACAGTTTGGAGATATGCACTATTTTAGTGATTGCTCTATCAATGTTCCTCAACGGCTCTACCATTTTGTTCGTTGTCTGCTCGACGCGGCTGAGGAAGCAGCATAATATCTTTACAGTCAATATGGCTCTTATAAACTTATTTACTGCCGCTTTCGGGATTTGGGCTTTTGAATCGACGAATGATACTGTAAGTTTCACCGTTGCATTCAGTATTTCTATTATTATCCTCTTCACAAAAAAATACTAGAAGAAACGACCATGTTTACAAAGTAATAAAAAAGGCATTCTAATCGCCCCGATGGAATCTTTTCGTTATTGTTTGTTTATTAATTCAGTGTTTTTCAACCGGAGTGCTGCAAGACACTTTTAAGGGTGCTGTGAGAGAAATTTTGTTATATAAACAAATATTTTGGAATACCATTTCGTGAAACCAATTATCAGAAACCGCTAGAGTATGTAATTTTCGCTCTCTTGTCACTTTTAGAGACAGCCAGTGTATTGCCAGAATACATCTATATTTGTGCAACGAGGTGCCCGAATAACATTTTATTTTTACAGTGATATATCTTATATATTTTTAATATAAATTACATGTACACCTCGCTCGCAACATTTATAAACAGGCTAATTCTAGGCAACGAGGTGCCCGAATATCCTCACATTCGTTTATTGAGATAACCTGATATATGTATTTGTATTCACGTCTATTGGATGGTGAGGTGCCCGCATACATTATTTTATATCTTATCTAGTTGATTACATTGATTACAAAAGAAACTTAGAAACAAATGTGCCCGTTCATGTGAACAAAGCACTTTAATTGTGCCAGAGGGATGCAAAATAAATATTTTGTGATTTTGTGACGCAAAACTTATTATTTCTTAAGTGAGCGCCGCGACTGAAAAAAGAATTGTAAAACGCTGTATTAGTTCACCAATTCAAGCTCGTTGAAACATGTGATTTATTCATTACTTTCAAGATATATAGAAGATACAGGTAAATAACAAAGAAAACAAGTTATGTTCCCCAATAGATAATTTTTAAACAAGAAACAACGCATCGGGTCTCCAGAGAAAAAGGAAAACGACTAAACCACCAACCCCCTCCACCTAATCATTAGCCATATACATTCCCAATTTATTTTACGAGTATGACTAGAGAAATTCACCTCCAAATCGTGTTTGTTCCGCCTCAGTGGGTGGGCTCACGCTAAGCTACTGCTATATTCCATTTTCTTATATGAAATTGAGTAGGAGAGAAGAGAAGAGAATTTATTTCAAATTTGGTTAAGAGTTGTTCGGTATATTTTGCCTTAAATTACAGATTCGCAGAGTCCTCAATTCAACATGGGGCTCGAGTGCAGTTTCATCGACTTTCAACATCCTCCTTGTGGCCGTTTACCGCTTCGTTACCGTTCGCGTCGACCCATTCGGAGTCAGGAATCTCGTCACCACACCTCGATGCATATCTGCCTGTGTGCTGACGTGGTTTGTCGGTTCTTTCGTTTACATTGGAATCGTAGTGAAAGACGCTATTTCTTGGATATTGCTCTTTATCCTGGTCGTCTTTGTACTGACCGGGATCTGCTACGTGCTTCTTTACCGCGGTGTGACGCGGTCACGATCGTTGCGGCGCGGCGTGGACGCAGACGAGCACCGTTTGAAAGAGAATCGCCGTTTGCTGAGAACTTTTGTCGCTATATACGTCACCTATGTGTCTTGCTGGATCCCAGGCTTTGCTTTTGCGATTTCTAGATTAGATAATGACATGTTTGAAGAAATTTCCATACTTTCCATTGCTGTCAGTTTGATTACTAATCCCGTTATCTTCTGGGTGCGATCAAATGACTTCAAAGCTGAGGTGAAAAGATGCATATTTAGAAACGACGTTGTGCCAGTAATGTATTGATTATTATTTATTTGATGTCTATGGTCGGTAAATAAACATTACTTGGATCAAATGTCATACGTATCTTGTCTGAAATAGAGACGCCCTTCATCGCCTTACAATGGGTGATGTGTCATAATAATTATAAATTGATCTGTGGAATGAGGTGTTGAACTGTTGGTGCTATAGGTTTACCAAATATATATTTTCAAAAGAGATGGGGAAAACAAAGAGACGATTAACCAGCCTATCAATTTTCAAACCAAATTCGTCGTGACACCGAAGCCGAGATGACTATGATAAAGCAATATGAAAGACCACCGAATTGTGAATCATTCAAACTGTCAAAGGAATGCACAAAATTATCAAATAAGTAGCATGATAGCTATTTGATCCGCTAAAACAAATTAGCAGCAAGATCGGCCCAATATTATGAATAATGTATACCGGTACTATATGTACATGTATATTATAATCATTTTCAATATATTGTTACACTCTTTGTAAAATGAAATATTGTGGAAATCAATTAAGAAGAAAGCTAGTGGTTACGACAACATTCCAGTTCGCCTGATTAAGGATGGTGCATCTATTTTGGCTGAACCATTAACACTTATCTTCAATCTTTCATTAGAAACAGGAAATTTCCCTGATTAAATGAAAATTGCTAAATTCAGTCCACTGTTTCAGAAAGGTAATAAACATTAAAAACAGGGATTTATAGACCCATTTCTGTCTTACCAATATTGGGTAAAGTATTAGAGAAAATGGTTAATGTTCGTTTGACCAGTTTTGTTAGAAAGGCATGACATTTTATATCACAATCAATACGGATTTAGACAAAGTATAGTACTAAATTATCAGTAATTAATCTTATGAATACAGTATTGAAAAGTGTTGACGAAGGATGTGTTACGCCTGGTGTGTTTCTTGACTTTCAAAAGGCTGTTGACACAATAAACCATACCATAACATATTATTTAAAAAGCTATCCCATTATGGCATCCGAGGACATGCACTGAAATGGCTCGAAAGCTATCTTAGTGACAGAATACAGTTTGTGAAATACAAATAGTCATCATCAGAAAGTAGACATATCAAAATGTGGTGTACCACAAGGTTCCGTCTTAGGACCAACTCTAATCTAAATAAATGATTTGCCAACAGTGACAAATTATTTCAATTTTAGACTATTTGCAGATGATTCTAATATTTTTCATACTTTTCCCAAAGGTGTAGATCAAATAGATGAGTCTGAAGTAAATGAACATATAAAATCAATACAGAATTGGTGCACTGCAAATAAGCTTACTATCAATGCGTCAAAAACCAATTTCATGTTCTTTAGTAGCCGTAGGAGAAAGGCCGTGCTTAGAGGGAGATTAAATATATCTGAGGCAGAATTAAGAGAAGTGGAGGAAGTGACATTTGTTGGCATTACCATTGACGACATTTAACATGGAATTCTCATAACAAATCTGTTAATGACCGTATACGAAGAAAGGTCGATATTCTCTTTAAATTACGGCACTTTGTCCCTAAACATATATTGATCCTGTCGTATAAAGCTCTGATACAGCCACATATTAGCATCGAGGTTTGGGGTAGTACTTATAAATCAGACTTGACTTGTAGATGTTATACTCAAAAGATGGCTGTACGTGCTATGACTTTCAAGCCACATCGTTCTTTTACTAATGCACTGTTTCATGACCTCAAATTGTTGAATGTTTTTAAATTGCATAAATTAGCTATTTGTACTTTTGTGTGTGATTTGATAAATGAACGACTACCTCATTCGTCATTCCTTAAAACATTATTTCAGTATGATACAACATGAATATTCCACAAGACAAAAAACGGGTCGACAACTACGTCTTCTTTTATTCAAAACAGACCAAGGAAAGTTTTCTGTTTCGTTTGTTGGAAGTAATTTTTGGAATATGCTTCCTATTGATCTAAGAATTGACAGATCAAGAGTCTCTTTCCGTAAAAAAAACTTACAAAATTACTCTTGGGTGAAAACCACGAATTATAACCTTGTAATTATATACCGTAGATGTATATAGCAACCAGTTTCGTTTTTTTAAATTGTAATTTTATACACAAATCTTATTTATAGGATTTGGAAACACATTGTGTATTTTTCAATGAAATTTATTTAAGGTTTTAGATAACAAGAGTCAGACTCGACTAGCACATGTGCTATTTTTTACTCTATTCTACCATCGATCAAAAACTCATTGTAAATACAGGTAATCATTTATTGTTTTACTTGAGACTAAAATTACTTATAACTATTTTTGAATATTTTGTATAATGTACATGTATATCGCTGTTGAACATGTATTTTTATAATTCATGTCATGTATTTATGTTATATTGACATCGTCATTGTACATATATCTTTTGTTTTAATGTTTCAATGGTAGTGAATAAATAAATTAAATTCAATGTAATAAACTATCTAACTATCTAACTAACTGTTGTCCATAAGCGCCCGATTATTAAAACTTCACACAATCGGCTTTAGAAGGATCCAGTAACGTTGTCTTAGATCCTTTAAAATTAAAATTAAATTAAAAATAAATAAATTCTTGATTTAGCTCATGCTGCAATGGCAATTACAAACCTTTAGGTCAGAAAAGATATACAGAAAGCTTGCGGGTGCACCATGTGAGAGAGAGAGGGAGGATTGAGGAGTCCTGAAAAAGACTCTCGGTAATCTTTCTTGAGGGTTTGTAGTCCTGAAAAGGACTGTTGGTATAGTCTTGAAAAAGAATGTTGGTTATCTTTCTTAGATTATAGTTCTAAGGAGAACTATATCGCTTGGAGAGGATGAGTGGCTGGAGTGGCTTGACGTTTCGAACAGGTTGAATATCCGTCGTCAGGAGTGGAGAATAGGGACTTTTAGATTTGCGTGGACTGATACATGTGACCTCCATTCAAGGCAGTGCATTAAAAGCACGTCAACCGTAGCAATCCCCATTGTCTTCGTGCGAATCTTAAAGTCCCTAATAGCTGGCGTGCGTATAAAGTTGCGGTAAAGTTGCGGTGACGTCCGGACGTCGTTTTACCCACTTTCAATTAAGACGCGTCAATCGGGGTAACGTCCGGACGATATCGAGGTGATAGGAGGGTGACGACTTTCTGATAAACGGCCTATTAAGACGCTCGCGGAATGTTACCCGGGTAAATTGCGTCATCGCCGTGAAAAAATGCATACAATTACCCGAAATTTACATGTCATGTACACAGCGCTCACAAGCTGATCGCGATGAACAGGTGGCGGTTGTTATGGTAACCTACCCGGGTGGCTAATTTTTTTTCCCAAACAGGTTTGCCAATGCTAATATTTCCGGTCATCTGATTGGCTGATATGTTACGTCATTAGCAATGACGTAATCGTTAGGGTGAGTGATAGGGTTATAGAAATCATGCAGAATCACCTTTCATTAACCCATCGTTGGTCCAATCGGTAAGGTCAGCGTAATACAATCTTAGAGTTGTGGATTCAAGTCTCAGTGTATTCAGTTGTTTTGCCTTTATAAATAGTGAGGCAAAGCAATAAAAAATAAAAGTATAATTGTTTGTGACCTCTTTCCAAGCTGCTAATGACGTAGAACATATTAGCCATTGAGAAGAACGGAAATATAAGAAATTGCAAACCTGTTTGGGAATAAAAATTTCGCACCTGAGTGAGGTTTTTGCAGATGGCTGATTAGGACGGTGTCCAAAAGCTCACCCCGTGTTTTACGATCAACCCCCCCCCCCCCCCACTGTTTCTCATCCACATATCGCTCAGGTAAGATCGAAAAAGTTCTATTAAGACGGGGCTTAAGAGAGAAGATGTTGCGATGTGATTGTGTTCATCTTGACAGCTTTAATTTGTTTAGAAAAATAGGGCTTTAACCACTCACGTGTATCAGGGGCTGATATAGCTAGTTTGTTGGGGGGAACTTCCGGATTTGTGTCTGCAACGGGATTAATTACTCTGACTGATCCGCTTTATCACAATTTTTTTTATAAGGTGCGCCCCCAAACGCCTACACCTTTATGGAGATAGATAGTAAATGTTAGAACTGTCATGTAGTACCACCAAAACCTTGAGTGTTCGTATATAATCTCTTCGATATGGTTATATGTCACACGTCATGAAATTTCATTCTCATTCATGAGATATGAAGCTAACAAACTCCATATAGAAAGAAAGGAAGAAAAAAATTCTGACGAAATCAACAAGGCATATCACCAATTAATGTCAACATCGATGGTTCCATGTCATAAATGCTTTGTTGTTTAATCTTAACGTGCCCATTGAGTAGCATGCCCAGAATCAGCACTTAATTACCTCTGTGGTTCATTGAATGTCTCGTTCAAAAAACGCAATATGTAATCATATTTCGAAACTTATCAATGTCACCGACTAAAAAGGATGCCAATCAAAAGACTGGCGAAGCCCTCCGCACGATACATCAGCAGAAAAGGCCAATTAGACAGTCATGAATTAGATGAAACTAAACTTCATTAAAACGGTGAAGCAATACCAGGAGGACGCAAAGCAAGGAACGTGAGTATCTTGTATGTAATTTTGCCTTCTTGAGTGAGAGGGCATGGGCGTGGCATGTTAGGGGTTAATTCCCGATCGTTATTACTTTAATGACGGTGCTATTTTTTCTTTTCGATCTTGAATGATAAGCAGGATGATAAGGCTACCAAATCAGATGATCTTGATTTTTTCATGCACAATGCACTCGTTTCATGAAAGTTGTTGTGCGCGACTTCGCTTTGTCTGTTACATATTTCATATACAGATACGGATACTGACCAACGTTTAAAAAGCGTTATCACAAAGAATGACATTGTCGTGAATATAGGAAGCAACAGCAGAGAAAAATATCGACACTAGCTCCATGATTAGGGGTAATTTCTAAATTCTTAGTCGAATCGAAACGAAACTCGTGCCATTCTTCAGGTTCTCCTAAGCTTCATTGCTCGCATCATGATATCTGCTGCCATAA